CACGGACTGTGTTGGAAGACTGGGAAATGACTTAGGAGTATATTACAGTAAACATTTCTTTTTATATGATCAGCAGTGAAATAACTTGGGCTTGAGGGTAGAGTCAGCGTGCTGTTAACATGATGCTTTTGCCCTTGGTTTTGAACTATCTTAATGCTTGAAGTTTGACAGCAGTAGTAAATCTCTTCCATAGGTTCAGAGGCTTCTAAGGGAATATGGTTATTTGGTAATTAAAATCAGAAATATAATCAAATCTTGATATTTAGAAAAAGGATCTATTTTAATATGGTGGTTGTGGGTTAACTCTGGCAGGCACCTCAGCCCCACAGAGCTGCTCACTGACTCTCCCCAAGGGGGATGGGGGAGAAGATCAGAAGGATAAAATAGTGAGAGAACTTGTGGCTTGAGGTAAAGACCAGTACAATGGCGTACTAATTAGTCGCCTCCCTGAGCTGGATTTGACTTTGGTGATGATAGCCAGCTTGTTAAGACATGCAGTTGGAATTCTTGGGCAGGAGCATGGTAGCTGGCAGGTGGATTCCTCTACATGGTTAACGAAGAAATGACCATAAGGCATCAGAGAAAGAGGTTCTAAATGGTTATAAGCCTTAGGTTCCCTGCAGTTGTTTTGGGTAGGGAAAATAGCTCAGATAAGAGATGGCAACAAGAGGGAAGAAAAATAATATCTTAACTTGAAAGAACAGAAGAGAAGGAACCAGGGTTTCTGGTACTTGGCAAAAGAGGCAATGTTTGTCTGTGTGTAAGTAAATTTGGAAACTTAAGGAAGTGACAAAAATACTTAATACTGGAGGAATCAGTACTGAGCTCAATACTCAATACAGAGCTGAGACAAGAGGGATGGAAAAAAGTAAGCAAATACATGTGAGCTTTACAGCCAGCTGCTGCAGCCTAGTTCAGGACACGATCGGTCTGCAGTAATGGTGTTTGAAAGAAGCAGGGTTATCTAGGGTACCAGATTAATTTTATGGCAGCTACTACATCTGGACCTCTAGTGGAACAAAGTTTGTAGCAGAATTCCTGTAGATTGTTTACAGATTCAGTTGATGGATAATTGTTCAGTTTTCCCTCTTTTGAAAAGCGTATCATTAATTTTGACTTTCTCTCTTCTAGCTCTAGTATATGACCATAGCTGTTTTAAAACATGCAGGGCTGGTTAGCCAGAAATTGTTGGGTAACATAGATTGGGAACTGAGGTCTGCAGCTCTGAAAAAAATTTTTTTTTAAATAGCAATATGTGACATATCGTGCTTTAAGAAACAAACTAGTTACTTAATTGTGCAACTTGCATACATTCAGCTTAAAAAAAAAAAAATTCATTATTACACTTCAAAATTTTTAAACGTACAGAAAATGCCCTATGTGACTTTTTTTAAGGTTTATTTTACATGTTTACATCTTTTCCATTTCTCTCTACGTATAATACATAGCTGTGGATCAGTCTGCATCACAGGGTTTTCATGGTTTTGGATTTTTTTCCTTTTAAACCTATGTTTAATTGAAAGAATATAATGGCTTCACTTCTAAATCCCTATTCCACTCATCTAGGGCTTAATTTAAATGGGCTTTTGATAATTAATGTTTAGAACAATTGATTCTGAAGACTTCAAACCTGGCTGATCATAAGGGGAAAAGTTGTGCACTGGTTCATGTCTATATTCTTACTTTTGGAAGTAATATTTAAAAATTATCTTTCCACAAGGCACACTTCATTTGAAGTAGTGAAAGTACCATACATCATCTTGGGCTCAATCTTACTAAGACTACACACACCAACTTTATTGTAAAATATTGCACTAAGGTACCACAAAATTTGGCAAAACACACTTAAGAAGGCATTATACCTGAAGACCAGACAGTAGTACTGAATTATTCTGAGGTCAGAGCACAACCTACAGTATAAGGGCATAACTAAAACAGTTTCATTGGCTTTACAAGACCTAACGTTTTCTGTACCATAAAATTAATAACATTAATCTATATCCAACCTTTTACAGATATCTTCATTATTTGATGCCTAAATGTGAATACATAATGCAACTGTATCAATTGATGGAGTTGCTTCAGGAGTGCCAACACAATGTGTATGAATTTCATTATCTGACATGTGCTTGGACGAGTGCACAGTTTGGAAGGGAAGCAGCGGCTCACAGTCAGGCTTATCTTAGGCTGAACTCCAGAACAGTACAAACTGCACAGTGGGCTTCTGTATCTGATGATGCTCCAAGTGATTAGGCTACTTTTTTCTTTGTGTGACTTTAAAAATATATTGAAAATCTGTAGTTATGGAAAAGTAGTACTTCTGAGAGAATCCTTTTCCCTGTAAATGTTCTTTGTTCTGAAATATCATTAGATTGGACTCATATTTATCTTTTCTGGAGAAGACTTGCCTCTGCCAGATTCCTGCTTTTAGCAGTATGTTACTAGAGTGCCTGATAATAGTATCACAGTTACGTGCTTGGCTGAATTCTCCCTGTTGAAGGTAATCATCGACTTTACAAGACAACTAAATATCAATCCATTCATGCCATTTAAAATAAGACCCCAAACCAGGATTTTAAACTAAGAAATTAATTTAGTTGAAAGACAGTGTTTCCATGAAAAGCTGCTTCCATGCTTTTGCTTTTGTTTAAAAATGCATGTTTCTGACTGCTGCGTAGTCTTGAGGTTTTTTTGTAATGCCTGCATTCAAGCCTAGGGCAATTTAGAGGAGGAGATAAATTTTTCTAGAGATGCTAAGATGAAAAATTATGCAAGAAACTACTTTGGGTTACCAGTTAGTTACTTTAATATCATCTTCTAATCCCAAGACTTGTTAATGCTATCTAGCAAGTAACCTTTCTGAACGAGCTAGACAAGTCTACTACTTTGTCAATCCTAGTGATGTTTAACTTCTCAGCTTTTTCACTGCACATCTTTAATGTGGATAAATACATAAAAAATACAAATAGCAATCATAGTAAGCGATAGCTGTGAGGCTAGCAGGCATGCTTCTGAAACCAAAAGGGTCCTCCTGTGCTGATGAGTTGTGTGTGCTGTTTCCAAAGCTGTGTGATCACTGGTAGGGTTGGTAGCAGAGTAGTTGTTATTACATGATTCTTGCTTTTACCTTCTCGCACAAAAACCCACCTTTTTAAAAACCAAGGACAAAACCAAATATGTACAAATAATTGTTTAAAGTTTCTGGAAGTGTTTTATGTAGCCTATCATATACATGCCACCCTTCTTTTTCCTTCATATAGGAGTAAACTGGTGAGAAGAATTAATTCTGTGATCTTTAAAGCACAGTAGATAAAGAACATAGGCGGCTTTTTTTTCCTGCATTGTATGAAGACTTTGTGAAGAACCCTCTTCTTAAATCTGTTGAAGATTAAAGTTGAGACTCCAGTGTATTATAAGGACTAACTAAAAATACAGTATATTTATTTAGTGTAGTATAAGAATAACAAACTAGAAAATTGCCTAGATACAAGATTTTGGGGGGATAGAAAACTCTCACAAAGGAAGTAGTAGTAGTCTATTTTCTCTGGGGTTGTTTTCTACACAAACTTCTAAGAAATGTATTGTAATAGTCCACTGGTAAGTGGATCTATTGGCTAGTGCTTACAAATCTCTTCTGGTTTCTATAAAAAATAAGTATTAAAATATCTTTTAAAAATACCTTTTAAAAGCTTAGCTGTATTAGATCATCTGTCTTACTATGACAGTTTGTGGTTTGTTTTGGTTTGGGTTTTGTTTTGTTTTAAATCTGTATTAATGACTTATTACTTGCATTCATTTTCCTTTTTTGCCTAGCTGTAGGATAACATTTTACTTTAATTTTTTTGGTCCAACTTTCTCCTATGACAAATATGAAACAAAAATCTAAGCAGACCACTGGCTGAGACAATTAGTTATGAGACCTGGTGGGTTTTTTTCTGGAAAAGAGGACTTGTCACAGGAGTCTCCAGGATCAGTGACTAAAACACCATACCACATTACTTGTAGAAAAATTCAGGTTACTAGCTTTCTGGTAGTAGTGTACAGAGGTTGCAAATATATTCGGTTCTGGCTCAGTTTACTTTTCAGGATCACATAAATTCCTGTAATAATTTGACTGCTTGCATTCTGCTAAAATCTGTACCTACTCCTTCTTGAGAGTGACATTCCCCTTGGACTGTGTTCAGGACCTCAAAACTAATATCAACCCTGCCATGGAATAAAAGAAGAAAAAGAGTTAGGCGCAGGTGCTGCGATGTGACAGTTTGGAATTATGGGGATCTGCAAACCTAGAACTAAACAGGAAGAATTTGGCGCCAGGGTCTTTACACAGATTAATCAAAAGTGGATTCATGGAATTAAACATTCATAAAACAAAATACATAATTTAGCTAATTTTTCTGTTATTCTAGGAAATCTTCTGCTGTATCCCTCACTGCTAACATATGGGATAGTTGCTACAATAATTGATCTTAAATCATCTCTTGCATTAGTAGGAACTTTTTTAAAGCTGTCTAAATCTTGAGTCTTGTCATACAGAAATAGTGAAGAGAAATACATTTAATGAAATTCTGGGGGAAAACCAAATCACACTGGAAGGTGCAATAGATCCTTAATAACTTCTTAAATTTTAAAAAACTTCTGGTTTGGCATAGATTTTTTACTTCAGAATTTTGCTACCTCATTATGGGTGGAGGATATCTCTAGCACCGAAGAATGAAATAGCATGTGAATTTTGCCAACAGCTGAAGTTTACTCTTCAGAGAGGAATAAGATGTTGCATCACTTGACATTCCACTGTCTTGCATGCTATTCTTGTTCTAAGCCAGGTTGGAAAAATTAAAGTCTGGAACTTTACATTTGGGATAATGTTGATGTCTGTTCTCAACTTATGGAGAGTGTGTTTGAGTGCCTAATTATTACTTTATAGTCCTTTTTTGATAGCCCATTTCAGTGTTTAGAGATGGACTCTCAGTAGTGTTCTCTTTGTCTGCAATTTATAGACGATCTGCTGTTGCCCGCATTCAGGAGCTCTTCAGAAGGAGGAAAGAAAGAAAAGAAATGGAAGAACTGGAAACGTTGAATATTAGACGTCCTTTAATAAAGATGGTTTATAAAGGTCATCGGAACTCCCGAACAATGGTACAAACTCTTTGTTTTGGGAACGGTAGAGATTTTATGGACTGAGTCAGTGTAGCTGCCACGTTGATATGCTTGCCAAAATGGATATTGTAATGTATCGTAAGCACTTTTTCTTGCATATTTGGTTGGAAGCCATGTAATTTGCTCTAAATGAAAATTAAAATTAGTGTGACTCTTGTGTCACCATGCTAGGCATTTAAGTTTTCTTGAGTTTAAGAGTCTCTCTCCCCTTAACTTCCTTTGAAATCTTGGGTATTTTTCTTAACTTCTTTTTCATTTTGTCTGTCAGCTTTAGTATAAAATGTGCCTACCTTCAAAATTATGATTTAATACTCACTTTCCCTTCCAAGCTCTTTAAAGATTAAATAATAATTTTGAACAGCTTGAAAGGGAAAGTGCGGATTAAATCATAATTTTGAAAAGCCTTGACATCACTGAATTAAAAAAGAGGAAATAATGCTTAATAATTATAAAATTGAAATCTAACTACTAGATACTCTTTCATACAGAGTACTGTATTTTAAGAAAAATGCAGTTACTGTATTTGTAAAGCAGTGGTGCATGAGAAACAAATGCTGTTTTCCTTCCTATTTCTTTTTTCACTTTTTATGTTATTTTGAAGATGTGAAGTTCTGGGTATTAGGTGGTATTTTGTAGAAGTAGCATGGGCGTTATTTTGCAGATGATCTGAGGAATAGTCCCTCTACCTCCAAAAGCAATTTTCTAGAGTTTGTGTGAAGGGCTTTGATTACACAGGGGAAAATGCTTCAGTAAATGCATATTTCAGTCTACATAAGCAACAAGGTTTAGAATAAGCTTTGATTAATGACAAGGAGTTTTGCACTGTATTTCAGAAATTAATTTTAATTGCTCAAAACCCCATTAGTTTAAAAGTCATAGCATCAAGCACTTTGTAGTTAAGAGACATTAAAACTAAGCTTGCCTGAGTGGTCTTAATTCAGTCTCCATTTGCATGCGTGTTATTATACAGATTATTTCATGGATTTTGTTGTTTGGTTTCTTTGGGATATATGTTTGTGGTTTTGCTTTTGTTTCATATGAGCACCTATGACAAGTAATGCATACAATGAAAGACAATATAATTTTCCCTGTTGGTTTCTATGGTAGCAAACTTTGTTTTAATTTATTTTTTTGATCGATACCCTCTTTCCCGCAAGGCAAGGGCTGATGGTATTTCCCTTTTAAGTTTGTGAAGGAGACAGCTTAGAGAGTCCTTGTTTCCTACACACCTGAGCAGCCCAGGGATAAAGTTGTCTTGTCAATTACACAAACATGAACTATTTTAATACATACACAGATATATATATCAAAAAGGAGAATGAATTAAGGTTATGCAGGCAACTTGAATAATTCTGGTACTTTCTTACTTTTGAGATCTTAATTTGGCAATTGTACAATTTTTTTAATAAGTATATTTTAAATGTAATTCTTATATTGTTAGAAAGCAAAAGATAAGTAGCATTATATTGATGTTTGGTTGCACCATTGGCAGGGTTGGAATGTTTTTATGTCCATCACATAGATCCCTCCCACGTAACCACTCGAATGATGTCATTAGAGTCCTAGGTATTACTGCTTTTTGTGAAACAGACCTGAAAGTATGGCAGCAAGGGGTGTGATGGTAGTGGAATGATGGGGGGTGGGATTTCCTGTTTCTCTTTAGGTCTTGGAGGAAAAAAATGCTCTTGTGAGCCCAAACTCCCTTTCTTTTTCTTCAAAATTTGTCTTTTGCCGTGTGCCTTCAGTTCTTTGTCTCTACTGTCTCTTCCTCACTATTTTTCCATCCAGTCCTAGTCTTATTTCTTTTCTTAGATATGCTATTCTTCCTCTATTCCATTTACCCTTAATCACGAGTCCCCCTTTTCTTCAATAGAACGTCTGTGTGTGACTAGTAAATGGGATAAGTTGTGTATGGGTACAGTAGAAGCAACTGTGTATATGAGTTTGAAAACAAAATTTTTAAATGGGAATTTCAATTCTATTAATTTATGTGGTGCTAAAATTAGGTTTTATGAATATTAGAAATGTAAAATCAGCAGTTAAGTAAGAGAATACAAAGGAAGCAGGAAGAAGTCATAATTGAGAATTAAATATAAAGTTATTTATTATTGGAGGTAATTTAGATGTACTTCTAACAAGATAATGAAAAATATATATTAAGAGGAGCTACAAGACAAAAGCTGCCAAAAGGTGAATATTTTGGAAACATGTCTTTCAGTACAGAATCCAGGAATGCAGTTTCTCTGGCTTATTTTTAGACATCAGGATGACTTCATTGCACTGACTGCAATCATTGGTACATATTCTATAGGTAAAGATCTAGCAAGCCTGAAATTTAAAACGGGACATACTCATGCTGGAAATAAAGTACATATTCTTAACAGCAGTAAGCGTTTGGCTTACTAACATTCTTTATCATGGTGATTTTTAAATCAAGGTAGCTGGGACAAAGCACAGAGCAAGACAATGTCTCTGTCCTTTTCACCAGTGCATTTTCTGAGAAAACTATGCAAAAAGAAAGATAAGGATGCAGGCACTGTCCTCTTTAGCGCTTTGGAAAATAATTCCATAATAGGATTCTGTGTAAATGGCCTCAAACTCGGAAATTCTGTCCTTTATGCTGGAGATATTCTCAAATGCCAAAAATTAGGAAAATATTTTATGCTAAACTCCAAACATTAGACATCATCTGTGTGAACTCTGAAAGCTGCTGCACAGGAAACTTCTGTGTACATAGGTATCTCTTTTGCCCAGTGTATGTCAATTTAAAGAGTTCGTAAGAGGTACTGGTAACTGTTCACAGTATAATCTTGTGTGTAGGATTTCATTTTTAATTTCCAGACTTTTTTCTCCAGCACAAACATCAGACTATTGTGGAGCTTTCAGTTCACATCTTGTGATTGAGTTTTGACTGTTCTTGAAGGAACGTCCCTCCTCCCTCTGCCAACCCACCTAACCTCTCACCCTGTAGATGATGTAGGACAACAACGGAGGAAGATACTGCTGCCTAGCCTGTTCCTATTTTCAGTAGTTTAACAATGGTTATTTTGATGTCCTACTCTAAAATCAAAAGTGACTCCTGAAGAAGGTTCTAATCATTTGTGAAGGAAGTGACCCATTCTTGTTTGCTCAGACTAATTGCTTGGCTTTGTTTGGGTTCTATCTTTTTAGGAATGGAGGGCAAGAGAAGCCTTCGCATGGAACTATTATTCTACATTTAACAAACCTAATAGTTGCTTCTTGAAAAAAAATATTCTAGGGTGGCTTTTTTTGGCTCAGAAATTGAATAAGCCACATTCTTTCAGGCTGTAATCATAAGAGTATCTTGAATGTAACAGGTGTAGAATAATATCAACATTGTATTTCAAGGAAAAGGATATCTGATACTATTGCCACTTTTTCTTGGCCTGCAACTTCTCTGTCATTTACATGATCATTTACATTATAATGGTACTCTGTTTCATAGGACAGACTGCTGCAGCTGCCTTCAGTTCCAAAACTCATGAGGTTGCAGATCTATGAAACACTCAAGGAGTCTGGGTTTTCCCACTGAATTAGTAAATACACAGTTAATAAATAATCCAGCATTTACTACACAAGTAATTATTTATTAATAAATAACATTTAAGAAATAAAAGTAGTATAGTCTAGTATAAACAATAAATGTATTAATCCATACAAAAATATAACTAATATGTATAAATGATTATCGGATAATACAATATTCTTATAATCCTATGATAATATCACGTGTTGGGGAGAGGGATGGGAACGAAGAGGAGAAAAAAGTTCAAATTTATTGGCTCGTTTGTCTCCCAAAGACTTTCCAAGTCACGTACGTGTCAAGTTAGCTATCTTGTCATTGACTATATCTGCTATTTTCTTTAATTCTCAGAATCAGGGACAAGACAGTCTAGCCGTTTTGAGGGCAGAGATGTCCACTTCATTAAAAAAGTGTTCACAGCATTGTTAGCATTGTTAGCAAATGCGTATCCAGAACAACAATGCTGTTGAGATCATGATTATTTATGGAGCTTAAGACAGTAGGTTTAAATACCTGCTGAATTATAGCACTTCACACCAGAAAAGGGAAATAGGTGATATAATAAACCATTATATAGTATACTGGCCTAGAGCATCAACATACTGTTCCCTAAAACCCCCCTTTTCCTTTTACCCTGAGGATGATGATGTTCCTCTCTTCATCGGCTGGAGAGAAGGCTGTGCGCTGATGGCAGGGGACGAAAGGCAGAATGCGACAGGAGGCCTTGGCCATCTCCACTGAGATGGTCCCCCTGCTCCAAAGGAAGCCTTCCGTCAGCCTCCCGCAGTGCTGTCGGAGCTTCCTGGAGAGCCTGCCAGAAGGGGAAAGCCCAAGTGCCCCCTGTCTGTGTCACTTCACTGACTGTGAGGCACTGCAACAAACCATACAGTTGCAGTGAGAAGTGGCTCATTTTCTGGAAGCCTTCTCAAGGACCTTGGATGCTTCTGCAGTACCCTTTAGTCAATGGCATGTCCAGCCCAGTTGTGTTCACTCACAAACAGATGTGCACACTTTAACTCACATTGCTGTGTTTGTGAATTTCCTCCCATCTTTTATGGTTTATGAAAAATCCTTCAGTAATTTATGCATCTTTCAAGTAAAAATTATTACCATGTTATTCTCAGAGTATAGAATTTCTTCCTTCAAGTGTACAGTTCTCAAATCAGAGAAGTCTTCCTTGAATGTTTTAATTATAATCCAGGGTCAAACTGCTGTGTTATCGATAATGTTACAAAGGAGTTAGCTGTTGGCCAAAACCGAATGTCATCCAATTATAACTTCTGATGAGTAAGCGATTTAAAAATTAATATAATTTGTGTGATGCTAGTCTAGTCAGTGCAAAGTAAAATGCCATAAACTGGCCCAAGATGCTAGAATGACCTTCAGTGTGAACAGTAGGCCCTCAAACAGCTCACTGCCTTTGCAAGATAGGTTTTACCTTGCTCTCTAAATTTATACACAGCAACATGTGTGTTTAAAAAAAAATTTAAAAAATAATCAATAGTCCATGCGTTACACATACTCTTTGCTGATAGCATGGACACACTACCAATACGTGACAAATGTTAGCCATATCACTTCAAACATTTTGCCCAGGTGCTTGGATACCTCAACAAAGTACTGATAGGAACAACCAAATAGAATAGAATGCATCATTGCTGTGTCAAGAAAACTGTGATATTATTGGTTCCAGTTGCAGGGAGAGATGCTTCTACTTCTATCTACTATTACTGTAATAGCTGAAGCTGAAGGGTCACTTCTGCCTGGATGCCTTCCTTGTTCAGTGGCTTATAACTTTAATTTTGGCCTTGGACTGTGAAGTCTTAGTTCTTATCTGATTGATTATAGAGGGGGAGAAAAAATTCCGAAGTTTGATTTCATGACTCCTTTTTATCTGTCAGACCCAGTTAATTCCCACCTCCCAGTTTTCATAAGCTTCTGTCTCATCTCCCCTTCCTGTGTAAATGGAAAATCCCCACCAGGGATTAGCCTGTCACTCACTTTAATTTACCAGACTCTTCCCAAAAACTGTTTCACATACCCCTGTCTCCAGTATCATTCTCGTCACTTTGGAAAGTGACAAATCTGCTGTCATTTACTTCCAAACTGCTCAGTCTGCCCCGATGCCTCTCCTTTTTTTCCTGTTAGCAGCCACTTTGCTCTGGAGATCTTTAACCTCCTGAATTTTCTTTTTTTGATCATTTTTCTTTAAATGTTTTCTTTAAATTTTCTTAAATATTGTTTCTGCATTTGCAGAGCTCTTACTTCAGAGGCAGTTTTGCTGCAGAAACAGGAGTATACTCTTTGATGTGCTTTCCAAGCTAGTCTTATAAAGTAAGTGTTATTTTTGTTTTTACTGCAGATAAAGGAAGCCAATTTTTGGGGATCTAACTTCGTCATGAGTGGTTCAGACTGTGGCCATATTTTCATATGGGACCGACATACTGCTGAACATCTCATGCTTCTGGAAGCTGATAATCATGTGGTGAACTGTCTTCAGCCTCATCCATTTGACCCAAGTAAGATGATAATTTTTCACAGTCTGCATGTTCAGGTTATCTGTAGTAAAGCATTTTAAAGCTCAATCTTAAATTCTTTGCTCAATAGAGCATTGTAATGATTAATGAACTATTGTTCACTTTTCCCCCTATAAATTAGATAATACTGCATTTAATTTTGTCTTTTACTAATGACCCTCCTTAGTCAATAAGATCTTGGAATGAAAACATTACTGACATAGTAGTTATAGGAAGTTAAGATGTAGTAAGAAGAATCTCCATCTCTTGCTCCCCTCTTCCGTGACACTAATGAGGGAAATATGGGGTCACTGAAATGCCAGCAACGCTTTGGGATTTGATATTGGAATCTGGTCTCTACTTGGCTCTGTTAAAAAAATTGAGTGAAGTGGGTGTCTCAGTCTCACTGGCTTTGTGAGATTAGATGAATAAAATTCATAGAAATTCTATTAATTTGTATTTAGGGAGAAATATTTACAGAAAAGAGGGACCAAAGTAGTAGAAGGAATCGTATGTCGTCTAACATGTAGATGGAAAATCTGAACCATTCCACAGCTTCTGACATAGTCAAAGAAAGTATTTGTGTTATTTCTTTTTTCATAGCTTACATGGCTGTAGAGTAACAGCCTGCTGTAAATAAATAAGCAAATAAAGTTGTTATAATAATACCAGAAGAGGCTGGGTTTTTTTCAGACAGTTTGTGGAAACATGGAATACTGCCCCACACTGGATAAGCCTTCAACTTTTAAATGCTTAATTGAAACTGTGTTCCTGTAAATGTTGGAGTGTGTGGCTAGGTTGGACACTTCTTTTGGAAGCCCCTTTCAAAACGCTCTGTACCTTCACTGATTTCTTGATGGAGTGCGACTGCCTCCCTGTCACACACTGAAAATGAAATGAAGAGGTCATCCTCCTCATAGGACAGTTAATCTTGTACCATTTTCCAGCTACTGAGATCTTTCTATGCAATTTTTATTCCCATACATGTTTTATGCGATGATCTAGAGGATGTTCTGCAACTTCTTGTTTTCCATATTTTAACAAGTGTTTATAAGAGCATCCATTGCTGCTTTATATTTGAATAACAAATAAATTTACATGAAATACACTGAAATTATCAAATGTAAAAATACGTTTGAAATTATCTTGCTTCTGCTTTGTATCCAGGTCTACAAATCCTAAGGCTTTGTTATTAATGCATATACTTACTCAGACGATCAGCAGAAATATATTAGTAGTGTCTGGGTTGGTTCTTACTTTCTGCTCCTAACTTATGTATATTCTGGTGCCTTTTTTTATTTAAAAAAGGAGAGTCTTGATGTTTGCATGTATTTTCTTCATATATATATTAGAAAATATACAATCTATAGCTCAGATCTCATATGGAGACAGTAATTATATAGCTGTATGTCCAGCATGAGAACTGACATTCACAAGTAAATGCTTCAAGGGAAGCATTTTTCTTCAACTCCAGTTAAGTGGAGAAAATACTGGTAAAGACGTAACACATTTAATTTAGAATTACTATTACTTCTAGTTCTGGCCTCTTCGGGTATTGATTATGATATAAAAATTTGGTCGCCATTGGAAGAATCCAAGATTTTTAACAGAAAACTTGCAGATGAGGTAAGAGCCTTTCTTCCATTTTCACAGTAATGTTGCATCTTCCAATTCTATAAAAGCCTTTAGTGCAAATAACTGATACTGAATTAACAGTTATTTGATGTTCAATAAATGAGCTACAAATAAAAAGCTGCACTTTATAATAGCTAACTTTCATATCATTGGCAGCACACAGAGGCACTTTTTATTCATAAACTCTCCTAGAAATAATAAGATATGATCAGGTATCATGTACATGAAAAGTTGGAAAAAGTACAAACAGTCAGATATAGAAGGAAAACTGACAGGAGTAAATAAATGAAGGTAGTACCCCTCTTTAAACAAATGAATTAACCAAAGGAAATACAATGATATACAGAAGAATAGAGAGCGCAAAAATCAATCCTATTAAATATTCTGTGGCATAAAAGGGAGTTAAGGTTAAGATTGCAAATTGGGAACTTCATGGAATAAAGCAAACATTGCAAGCCCAATCAGTTATAAAAGTCTGTATGTAAGTTTATGTAACACATTGTTTTCATACCCTCAAAGCAATAACAATGTACATAGCAATTGGCCTATGATGATCATATAGCTGACTGCTGAATAATCATATTTTAGTGATTTACATAATTTATTAAAATGTTAGAAGTTTTTCTTATAAGTAATATATTAGGGCAAATTTGGTTGTGAGGTGGTTTAGGAGTTCTTTTGTGCAATCTCTTGGACAGCAGGGATATAGTAGACTTTTTAAAAAATTATTATTTCTCTGTGTTAGTACTATATATATTTAAAAAAAAACAGAAACACACAACCCTTACCCATCACCCCCTGTTCCCCCTGAAAAAAACCCAAAGCATCCACTTGTGAGTTTTGAACCTTTCCCATTATTTTAGCAGTAGTAACATTTGTGAAGTGATGCTTCTTTTTATATTGTATGATAGTTTTACCCTATGATGTGTTTTGGAGCCTTTGGGGGTTAGAAATATTGCTAAATGTAAACACGTGCTAAAAGTAATTATTGTACTGATACTTTTGTCACTTAATAATAACAAATTATTTAGAGATTTAATTATTTTTTCTTTAATAAAAAATGTAGAGCTTTCAGGAAATTTGATCACGGTGTGGTTTGTAATTTTACATGTTTCTTGTTTTTTTTTTTAATTTAATCCCTGTATTGAAATACCTATGTAGAGGACAGGAGAGGTTCATAGAAATAAAATAGTTTTCACCATGTTAAGTTTGGCTAGAGTAAGTGTCCAACCTATCTAAACTGAATTTTCCATAGAAAGGAAGGTCTAGGGAAAAAGCATTGTGTTTGGGGAAAGTTCAGTATAGATATAGAACTGTATTTAAAATTAAGACAGGCCATGACCTCAGTGAATAGGAGAAGACAGTGGGGATGGGAACAAATCTCTGAACAGAGAAAAAGCATCAGAAACAGGCTGTCAAAAGGGTGTTACTGATGATGCACTAGAGAAATAGGAGGTGAAAGAGGAAAAAATGGCAGCCTGCTGTCTTCTCAATTTGCTTTTAGGGAGTGATCAGCTGTGCAAAGTGCCTGGTAAATAAATGAGAATGACAGAAAAGAGGTGTTTTGATTTGGCTAGGAGAAGGTCAGTGCAGACATTTGCAAGAACATGTTCCTCATAAGAGGAATAGGCTTGAGAAGGAGGGTCAGGGAGAAAAGAAATGCATTGTTTTTCTGCCTTAAAGCAGCTGATCTGAGAGGAGGGACTGAATAATGGTCAGAACTTGTTTCCATCTCAATAAATTTTTATGCTTAGTGATAATGAAAGAACATAGCCTAAAAGCTGAGAGACAAGCTAAGGTGTGGAATTAGAACTTAACAGCAAAGCAAGAAGGATGGCAAGGAAGTACGATGAGGAGGGAAGGAGGCAAAAAAGCTAAAAGTATTCGTTAGTGAATTTTTGTTCCTTGAAACTAAGACAGTAAGAGCTGGCTCTTTCAAGTAATTTAGAGGCAAGTTGTAGATCTGTTTAGAAATAATTATGGGCCTGAAGAATGTTCCTGAACTGGGATAGAGTAATTGCTTGTGTTCCTTGGATTTTCTCCAAAAGTTTCAAGCAGCATGAAGGTAGGAGTTTAGGGTAACCTCATCTCTTTTCCTTCCCATGTTCTTAGCCAGTGCTGGTGCTAGAACTTTGTTGCCATCTGTAACAGCACTTTCCAAAAGTTTTTCTCAGTTGCTCATCTAAATATCTGCCATGCATGTGGACAATGGACTGATGATCTTACTAGAATATTCTTTAGATAGGCAATTAGATATCTGTAGGCAGGGTCCACTGTCTGACTTTCCTTATACCATATATAATTGGTACAACTGTATTTGATAGTGATTATTAAAATATTGCTCCCTTATTGTAATTTTGGACTGTGTAAATGCCTTTTGTGTAAGAACTTTTTATCTACAAACCCATATCAATGCAGTACAACTTTGTGTTTATTTTTTATGCTGTTTTTTCCCCTTCCCTGCCTCCAGGTTATAACACGTAATGAATTAATGCTGGAAGAGACCAGAAACACTATTACTGTTCCAGCTTCATTTATGTTACGAATGTTGGCTTCGTTGAATCATATAAGAGCAGGTGAGAGACTTCTGAAGAGCTTGTCTGCCTGGCAGCAACTGCTGCTCCTCCTTCACCTCTCGCTGATCTATGACAATTAGAGAGCCAGGAGGATGCCACTGTGTCCAGCCCAGTGGTATGGCTTGCCACTGCTGTAACTGAATATATTAGTTTGGTTTTTTCTTCATTTGTTATGATTTCTTTGGAGTAAAATACTCAAAGAACTGCCCAACACTTGAGTTACAATAGTTTCAGCAAAAATATGTGTTATGGCTGGGTGGAGTATTTCTTAACTTGACATTGCATGTTGATTGAGTGATAGATCTGGAGTCATTCACATTCCCTCACACATTTCTGTATTTGCCTATCTCTAAACATTTACATCAAAAGGTACTTTTTCTCTATATACAGTGACAGATAGTGATTCCTGTTTTCTGGAGTATACAGATTTCTAACTGCAGCTGTTCTAGTTTTAGCTCCCCAGAACAGTGTTTCAATCCCTTGTATTCACCATCTCTTTTTTTATATTATGCTTGCATTCATCTTTCCTGTGCTGACAGCCAGTCAGCAGCTACAAGGTTTCTCCTTTTTGTACACAAATTTCACTTTTATGCCTGGAAATCCTTTAGGGCTTTTATCCTGTTCTCCTTTCTTGTGGTAACATTTCTACCCAATCTCTGCTGTCAGTCCATATGGATTTCCTTTTACTGCATAATCCACAGTCACTGTGTGTTGTGTAATAGCCCAGGGAGATAGTACACTATAAATATTTGCCAAAACCTGAAAACTTTAGAATTTCTCTTTACTAAATCTCTGTGTCTTACAGACCGATTGGAAGGTGACAGATCAGAAGGATCTGGTCAGGAAAATGAAAATGAAGATGAAGAGTAACTGGCAGTTGTGTGCAAGCACCTAGATGTTAATGGAATTTGTATAAGACATTAATTATATTTTTCCTTACAGAGCTTTAGTGCAATTCTAAGGTATTGCTTTTTGGATAACCTAACCTTTTGTTTTTGAATGACTGTGTGCATGACTTTGCGAGAGTGTGCAAGTAAAATAAGCAAAAATGTTTTTAAAATGTTTTGCCATGTATGAGGGGTGCTAGAAGATGCAAAGTGCAATATTTTCCTTAACCTGCAAATGTGGGAGCTTGGATCAATGTTTTAAAGTAACTTTCATTATAGTAAAAACGTTGGTTCAAATAAATTTCTATACCTGCTGTTTGCATGTTTGTTGCTTTCTAATTAAAAGATTTGGTTGTTTTAAGTAGTTTTGTGTTTTTCCTTTGCACAACCATTGATTTTTCACCTTGTAACTATAACCCCATTACTGCCTTCATTTGCATTCTTTCTTATAATGTTTGTGAAGTGACAAATACAATTATTTCTTGCAGTGAGCACTGGGATTCTCTGTGACTTTGAGACCCACACATACATACGCAAAATGGCCTCTCCATCAGTCTTACTATAGTGCCACTTCACATTCTCCATGCTTGAATCTGTAGTGCTGGTGAAATAGTTGTTTCACTAATAAATCCACGAGTATGCGTTCTTCGCAACAACAGCAGATATATCTTAATTTCCATTGGATTTAGAATAGAGAAAGTGTAGTGCAAAGGAACATGAATTTGAAAATTCCTGTGCATTACTTCCTAGGAGTAATTATTTGGGAAGGAGGGCAGTTCAGTCTGTGTAACAGCCTCTACCCTTCCTCCATACATTTTTGGATAGCAATGGATGGGAAGAGCAAGTGAAGAAAGGAAAACGGGGCAGGGAAAAGAGCAGCTTTGCTCAATGGCTGTTCTTGCCAAGGATGGCAGATGCTGAGAGGCTCCATCAGGAGTTACAGAATGCCAGGAAGAAATCTAATCAGATGGATGAGGCTACCGGAGGCTTCATTACCCTGTTATCATTAAAATACACATTCATCACACAATCTTCACAAACTTTGCTTACATCAACAAAAAGAATCTTGCACACCAAAGTCTAAATAACATTATCACAACATTCTGATACCCTGATTCACAATGCAGGCAGGCTGAAAGGACTTGGGCAAGGTATATAAACAGAAATAGAGGGAGATGGGAACACTAATACTGAGGAGACGAAGAGAGACTTGTGAGGGAGGAGAAATGGGAATTATATAGAACTCAGCTGGCAGTAACAGTGAAGACACTTGGGCAAGGGGAGAATAACGTGAGGGGAGAGGAAAAGTGTGAGGAGATGGACAGGGTGGTTGGGTTTTGGTTTTTTTGGTTTTTTTTTAAAAAAAAAAAAGGAGAAGATAGCAAATTTCTGAGAAAGAGCAAAGTATAGAAGCTTTGAAAGTGATCCAGTGAAGTGAATTTAGGAAAGGAAAAAATAACTGTGGGGGAGAAAAGGTTTTGGAGGCAGAGGGTGCTGAGAAGAATGGAAGTCTCAGAACACTGGAGCATTGTGGAAGATGGGAGACTTCACACCCAGAGGAGGTTGGGGCAACAGAGGATGGAAATCTGGTAACCATTTGCGAACATATCCACTGTGAGCAAGGGAGAGTGAAAGAAGTCGAGGTAAGTTGTTTGGTTTTTTAAGGTATGGAGTGAAAGTAATGGCTGATGCAGATATTTGTCTCTTCTGGTGACACAAGAAGGACTAAGTGGCCTTCTTGTTGGAGAAGGAAGAAAACATTAGTTTTTCCTCATGACATACCATTTTGGGCAAGCGTTTTTAGTCCAGCAAGAAATGAAGGAATATTTTATGATTTTGTGCTATACCTGTTTGGGGAGGGGGGAACACAGTGGTCTAGAACTATTCAAACCTTGCTGCTCATAGCACTGCACTGAGCAATATTTTTACTGTCACATATAAATTAGCCTTGAATTTCTGTAAAAGAACAGTACTCCTCATTAGATTTTAAAGAACTATACAGTAGATTATATATATAGTGTACTTAGTGTATATATAAGTAGGGTTGTCTGCTCTACTTTAGCTGTTAGCAGTAAAAGGAATAAAGCTGCGTTTCTGCTCTGTGTGGCATCTGTTGCAATGGTGGACCTCTTCCACAGCTAGGGGTCCTGAGCAGTTCTGTGAACAAAATAGAATAACACAATGTTTGATGCAGTTGTTAGGTCCTCTATAGATGATAATTGAGATGTATTTGCTTCCAAAAAGAATGACCATGGTGTTGCTACAGAAGCCTGACTCTTGTTATTTAGAAATTATTGACTTTTGCCTTTTGAAAACAAATTATTGCTCAAGTAAGTATGTGGAGAGGATACCCTTTGTCTTCACTGGAGAGGTTTTAAAATCATCACTGTGGATGTCTGTCTTTCTAAAAATAAAAAAGCTGTTTCTGCCACTTTTGCTTTAGTAGTAGCAATTGCTAGCAAAGACGATACAATATAAACCAAAAGCAACAATCTTGTAAATGTTTGTTTTTCAGAGTTCCCTGATAAGCACATTATTCCCAAAAGGTCTCTTATTTATTCAAAAGCTAAATACTAACTTTAATTCCAGATGCTTAGCTGTGGGTTTATTGATTAAAAAGAGGGTTGAATCTCAATAAGAGCAAAAGTTTAACATTTGGAACATTTTTTCAAACTTCAATGAAGCTTTTCAAGCAGTTTTTCTAAAACTGAGATAGCCGTAGCGTTTGCGTTGGCTCTTTTCATAAACGTTTAGGTAATGGACTAAGTCTCAGTTCCCAGAACCATGCAATAATAGGACCTGTTGGCAGGAGTGGGAGGGATGTTGATAATTCTAGAGTTTGTAGTAGAAAAATAAAATTTGAAAATGTTATTCAAATGTGCATACAAGTTAATAAGTAATAGAACAACCCACAATCCAAAACGTCACAATTTTAGAAGCTCCCTCTAGTACCACCATTCATGCTGCATTTGTAGAAGGATGTGTCCTGTGTGCAGAAACGAAAATCTAGGGACGTGTACTTCACGCTAATAGTGATGCAATACCTGAGACCATCACTCTTCCTTTCAAGTAAGCCAATGAAAGGAAAAGATCAATAAGCAACAGACCATAATTCTCCTGATAAGCATCAAGTGACCAGTTGATTTAGCTGGCCACTAAAAGACCTATCCAAACCCTTCAGTTTCTAATTACAATAGTAACAGCCCAAATTTGATGGATACGACAGTGAGTGAGAATATGGGGAGGACCTTATTTCCCTGCTTTGTGGACTGAAGATTATACATGTGCTTGAGCTGGTCCTTCTGTCCCACAACAGCTTGCTGTCAATGTTTACATCTTAGGAAGAGCACTTATCTACAGCAAGGGTTCAGGTATCATTGAACTCACTTCTATGAAGGATATTTCTTAAGACCATTGCAAAGAGCAAAAGCAACTTCTTTGATGTGTTGATACAATTCCTGGTAAATAATTTGGTGTCTCAAAGCTTGGCCAGATAGTCACTGTAGGAAGCAATCTCTTGTTTAAATGTCAAAGATGCTGAGCCTGTTCAAACTGCTACCTGCCTGAGTTGTAGTTCTTCCTGCCTTCCCCTGATGGAGGTAGCACAAGGTTCAGTAATGACATCCTGCATCACCTTTATCGTGAAATTTTCTTACCTAGGCAGTAGATAAATGTAGCTTGAATAAAATATTACAGTAGACTATTGTGTATGTTCCAAGCTCTTTCAGAAGACCCCAGAGGATGTTTCTGAGGAAGAAATTGCAGAAGTAAATGTTTAATACAGGTTTCTCTGTCCTTGCACAAGCAAAATAGCTATCACTGAAGTGTGTGTGTGCGTGCTTGTGTTCAAGGGATGGGAGAATATGCTCAGAGATGCCTTGGAAAGCTGAGTGGTCATGTCTACAAAGTCTTTTTTTTTTTTTTATGGAAAGATATCACTGAGCCAGGTTCAGTCTCTGAGGCTGAGGCCTATTGCAAAGGCCATTAACAATTCTTGGGAATCCTCCATACTGCACTGTTTAATGGGTCAGCGCTATTGAAAAATGAGGTACCAATTAGCACCAGTTAGGTCACAGCCCATGTTCCTCCTGGTCCACAGTCATGCCCTTACAAGACGCCAACTCTAAAAGTCTCTGCTGAAGTACAGGAAATGACACAGAAGGCATGGGTGAGGTCATCCACCCTGCCTAAATAGAGATTGATTTAGTCTTTGAAACGTGGGGTCAAATCAATTTTAACCTTTTTTCATGAATTATAACATGCCCAAATGTCTTTGTGTAAGCATCCAGTCCATCTTCTCAGTGACACTCTCTACTGTTCAGCCTGAGTTATTTTTTAGGGTAATAGAGATTTATTTTCCTTAGTTTTAAATGTTCCTTTTACTATTTGCAATTGCTTTGTTCTTTTAATAAAAAGGTACCACCTACCTTCTCAGTGCCTTTTACGAGCTTTTTATCAATGCTCCCTTCTAGATTAATTTCCTTTTGCTGATAGAGCAAACTGAAGTCCAAAAAACAACTACTACTACTAAAAATACTGAAATATACAACAAGGTGTTTTGATTGGAAAAAATGTCCTATTAAACTGTCTTTACCTCAATCCATGAGTTTTACTTCTTTTCCTGATTCCCCCATCCCACTGGGTGGGGGGGGAGAGAATGAGCGGCTGTGTGGTGCTTAGTTGCTGGCCGGGGTTAAACCATGCCAATATGCTACTCTTAAAGCAAGCTCCTTTTTGTCTGATTGTGACTCACCATATTACTACGCTTCCTTTTTTTGCAGGAGGAGGGCTTTATGCTAGTATAATTCATGGAATTTGACAGATTCACTGTCCCAAGTCAGAACTGATGGCTACTAATTTAGGAAAGTCTCACTTAAGTGAAAAACCCTCTAAATAGAGTTTGTTAATGGGCTTTGTTACTGTGGTGGTTTGATAGTTTGACCTTGGCTGGATGCCAGGTACCCACCAAGCTGCTCCATTACTTCCCTCCTCAGCAGGATGGGGGAAGAGAAAATAAGGTGGAAAAAAGATCTTGTGGGTCAAGATAAAGGCAGTTTAAGAAAGCAAAAGTTGCACATGGAAGCAAAGGAAAACAGATTTATTCTCTACTTTCCATCAGCAGGTGATATCCGTCCATTTCCTGGGAAGTAGGGCTTCAGTACACCTAGCAGTTGCTCTGGAAGATAAACATCGTAAATAACAAGTGCCCCCCACCCACCCTTTCTCTTAGCTTTTATTGCTGAGCAGACGTCATGGTATGGAATATCCCTTTGGTCAGCGTGGGACAGCTGTCCTGGCTATGTCGCCTCCTAAGATCTTGCCCACCCCCAGCCTACTAGTGACGGGGGGGAATGTTGGAGAGAC